CTTTTCTTCTCAGAGCACTGCTTGCACTGTAGAACCAGGTATTTATTTCTGTGGTTATTCAATTACAGTCTGGGTCCCTGCTGAGAGTGAGCCCCAGGAGGTCAGCTCTCTGTTATCCCCTGGTTCAGTGTTCTTTTCCCGGTGCCTGGCTCCATGATTGACACACAGTAGGCACAGATACATGTGTTCCTCCCCTCTAAAAAAGGAATAGCATTACTTGCTATCGGCGTTGTTCTGAAGATTAAGTGGGATAAAGCTCTCCAAAGTGCCTGGCGCAAAGTCAGGCCAGTCTGGTCTAGTCCTGGACCATTCTTGAAAGACCTGGATATTTCTCAAGGAGGTATGGAGCGGAGGGAAGGGAAGAGGGTCCTTGTGGATTGGCAGGGGTCTCGCTGTCTGCAGGACTCACAAAGGGAGCCTTGTGTGGGAGTGGGTGGGCAGGATGCCTTGTGGCACAGCTGGGCCCCGGCTGCCAGGCCTGGGCTGGGCTGGGCTGGGCACTCTGCCACAGGCAGCCTTCTGAGGGTCCTTTCATCTGAGTCCCAGCTGCCACTTGGCTGGCTGGCCCAAAGCCCAGCCGCCTAGAGGGGAGAGAGGCTGGCAGCTTTGTCTCAGGAAGAACAGAGGGGAGTGAGTGAGGGGAGGGCAGAGGGAAGCAGTGCTTGCTCTTGGAATCAGGCCAAAGGGAAACAAGATCCAGGCACAGACAACACCAAGGGGCTGTCTGAATTCGTTTGTTGCCATAGCATCGAGCATTACAGGATCACAGGGACCATCTCAGAAAACACCCCAATTCCCACCATGTTATAGGTGGAGAACTGAGGCCCAGAGAGGGGCAGGGACTTGTCCAAGGTGATACAGCAAACTAGTGCCAGAGCCAGAGCTAGAGCTCTGATCTCTTGTCTCCTGGCCCTGACTGACCCTGAAAGAGGCACTTCGTCTCTGGGAGCCTGAGGGTCCTCATACATAAAATGGAGGTACTAATTCTTATTTTGAACTGTGAGGGTCAAATGTGCTAATGGACACAAAAGGAAGAGGAGGACCATCTGAGCGGGGCCTTGAAAGCTGTGTAGGAGTTCTCCAGGCAGAGAAGAATGAGCTGGTGGGGAAAGACATTCAGAGCAGAGGGAACAGCATAAACAAAGGCAGGAGGATGTGAGCGTGCAGGTTTTGTTTCGGGGCAGCTGGGGCTTGGGAGGAACAGGAAATGGCACTTGACTGGCACCATGGCTGGCACCTGTAGTCCCAGCTACTCTGGAGGCTGAGACAGGAGGATTGCTTGCTTGAACCCAGGAGTTTGAGGCTGCAGTGTGCTATGATGCGCCTGTGAATAGCCACTGCTCTCCAGCCTGGGCAAGACAGCAAAACCCTGTCTCTTAAAAAAATAAAGATAGGAAATGGTGTTAAGCGCCCAGGCTGCTTGATGCCGTTGGAAATCCCACCGTCCCTCTGAGCGTCCGGGCCTCCTTTCTGGGGTGATGACCCTTCAGAACTCTGCCTGCCTGTGGAATCATCCTGGCACACGCAGTAGATCAGCCCTCTGCGGGGAGTCAGCTATGCAAAGGACGTGTGGAGTCCGTGGAGGATCCTGACCCAGACCCAGCAGGCAGGAAAACATGCCTTGAGGAGGTCACAGCTCCCTCCCCTGGCTTGGTCCCTCCTGCAGAGTCTTAATGTTCAAGTATATGCTTTGTTGAGATGCAAAACAATTCTGCAGAGTCACAGAAAAAGAACTTTTGAGTGAGAAAGACGTGGAGTCCAAACTTGGCTCTGCCAATTAGTAGCTGTGTGGCTTTTAAGCCATTTATTTAACTTCCCTGAGTCTTGGATCCTCATTTGTAGAGTAAGTCTTACTACTTGGGAAAATTGGTACAAGGGTCTGTGTTCACTGCAGGTGCTCAGCACAGGATCATCTTCCTTTCCTGTCCCCGCTTCACATTGCACAGCTGACCCCGTCTCCAGGCCTCTCTGGAACAAATCTCTTCCTCCTTCAAGACCCAGCTTACATACCATCTCTTCCTTTAAGCCTTCCAGCTCTCCCAAATTGAAACGCTGACGTCCTCCTAAAATGCCTGCGCTTGTCTTATGGTGTCGCTTTTTCTTTTTATTTATTTTTCTCTTTTAGACTTTTTCATATTCACTGAAACTAGTGACATAATACAAAGATATATTCAGAAAAAATTAATAATCTCTCTTCTCCATTTCTATCCCCATCCTACTGAATAATATGCACCATTCTACACCTTTCTGGTTATATGCTGACATAAACAGAGATAAACTTATATAAGGGACAGTTTGTTATGTTTGTTATATGTTTTTCACAAATGTATTCTCACTTATGCACTACCCTAATACTTATTTTTAATCACTTAATTAAAATGGGTGAATGAATAGATAGAGATCTACCCCATTGCCAAAAGTGGGATTATTGGGCCAGATGGTATCTATATATTTTTTTGTAGATATAGCCATATTACTTTCCAAAAAAATTGCAGCAGTTCACATTCCCAACCAGCAAAGTCAGAGTAGCTGTTTTCCTTCATCCTCACCATCTCTGGCATATTGTGCTTCTTAATATTTGCCAAATTGATAGATTAAAAAATAGTACATCATTACTCTTTTAATCGCACTTCTTCAACCCCTAAAAAGTCTCAATAATGCTTCATTTCAGTTATTTTATTTTTTTCATTTCTAGAAGTCTATTTAACTTTTAAAAACCTGCCTGCTCATTTTTGATCATATCTTCTTGTTCCTTACTCATGTTTTATAAATACACCATCTTATTTATTTAAGCACGTGAAATACACCTATATGTTATACACAATAATCTCAGTCTCTGAGAAGTTTATGGATCTGTTTCTGTTGACTCTTGCTCATGGTACTTTGTTTCCTTTTGTGGTTTGTGACTTTTGATTGTGAGCTTGTGTTTGTCGGATTGCTATCTGTGTGGATTTTTTGAGGCTTGGTTTGATTATACTTTCTTCCAAGGAGGGTTGCGTTTCCTACGTCAGGCATCTGACAGCACTTTCAGGTCCATTTTAAATCAAATCCCAATTGTTGTTGCGGCTGACCACACTGGGTCCCAGATCTATTTGAGCTCTTGCCTATAGTCAAAAATTATCAGGAGAGACTTTTCTCCACCTAGAACCAAGGAATGAGACAAGCAAGTTTCCATAGCATTTGCCTTGGAGTGGCAGATTTTTTTCTAATTTACCCTTTTATAGTCTCTGATCTGACATCCTACCCTGTGAGTGGCCCAGGATTTGTCTTCTAGCCCCACTCCTTAAAATAAAAGTTCAAAGTCACTCAGGGTTAGAGATAACCCCAAGGAAGCCCCTGGAGTCAGTGCTCAATCATCTCAGAGTACCTCAGTGCATTTCCTTAACTTTCTTGCCAGCTCAGACATACATAGACATACACATGTTCAATATTTTTTATTGTTTTTTATTTGTACAAATTTATGGGGTACATGTTCAATTTTGTTACAAGCATAGATTGCATAGCAGTCCAGTCAGAGCTTTTGGGGTATCCATCACCCAAATAATGTATGTTGTACTCATTAATTTCTCATCATCCATCTCTCAATATTTTCAATATTTTGAGATGCCTTGTAGCTGGAAGATTTCAGAATATCTAGTCCTCCATATTATTGGAAACAGGTGTCCAGCATATTTTTATATACTCATTTACTCTTTCATTAAAGCTATTTGTGCTTTTCTCTTCAGCAAAAAGACAATATATTTCAGGCACCTGTGTCCCCCACCCCTAACTCCTAGCCAAGGTCAGTATCGGTAACTCTTTGTTGAATAAACGAGTGACAACCCACATGGGGGAAGGAGAAGAAAGGATTGGAAAGGTACCCACGCTGGATAGGTGATGCTGGATGGGATGGCGCCATGGAGGCTAAGGAAATGGGCAATGACATTTACTGAGCCCCCCTCTAGGAAAGCCCCTAAACACTATATGCTTTATTCTGGTGTTTTCTAAATTTCCAAGATGACAAGATGCTTGTTAAATATACAGATTCCTAGGCCCTCCCTTGGTTACTCAGTTTCGGTCTGGAGGTGGGGCCCAGGATGGTGTTTAACAAGCACCCAAGGTAAGTCTTACCATCAGGGAAGTCTGGAAAGTATAGTAATTATTTCACTTAATTTAATTCTCACAACCACCTAGCCAAGTAAGCATTCACGTGTATTTTACAAAAGAGGCAATTTGGGCTCCAAGGGGAAGTGATGGAAGGTCACATAGCTGGTAAGTGGCAGAGTCAAGGTTCTATTCCCTGTTGTCTCCCTCCAAAGCTTTATCTTTATTCCCCCCCCCAAGTTTCTGTACCATTAGTTGATTAATGTGAGTATAGGTTATGACCAAGAGTCACTATTTTCTTTTTTCTTTTTTTTTTTTGGTGGTTAAAAAAACCATATAACATAAAATTTACCATATTAACCATTTTTTTTTCTTTTTTGAGACAGAGTCTCACTCTGTTGCCCCAGCTAAAGTGCCATGGCGTCACCCTAGCTCACAGCAACCTCAGACTCCTGGGCTCAGGCAATTGTCCTGCTTCAGCCTCCCAAGTAGCTGGGACTATACGCATGTGCCACCATGCTGGCTAATTTTTTTGATATATTTTTTGTTGGCCAATTAATTTCTTTCTATTTTTAGTAGAGACGGGGTCTCACTCTTGCTCAGGTTGGTTTTGAACTTCTGACTTCAAGCAATCCTCCTGACTTAGCCTCCCAGAGTGCTAGTATTACAGGTGTGAGCCACTGTGCCAGGCCCTGTTTGTTTTTTTTTTTAACAGAGTCTTGCTCTATTTCCCCAGGTAGAGTGTAGTGGCATCATCACAGCTCACTGCAACCTGCAATTTCTCCCCAGTAGCCAGGACTACAGGTGCTGGCCACAACATCCAGCTAATTTTTCTATTTTTGGTTGAGATGGGTCTTGGTCTTGCTCTGGAGGGTCTCCAATTCCTGAGCTCCAGCAATCCTCCCACCTGAGCCTCTCAGAGTGCTAGGATTACAGGAATGAGCCACCATGCCCAGCCTTATTTTACCTTTTAACACCACCCTACCCCCTGGAGCCCTGTTTTTCTCATCTGTAAAATGGGTGTTGTTGATCTTTCACCCTCTAAGACTGTAGGGAGTAGAAAGTCTATGGTTGTCAATGTCAATTTCCTCTGCCTCCCTCAATTTGACTATTGGGGAACCCAAGACCCAGATAGGGCAGTGACTTGTGTCAACCTAAATAAGGAGATTCAGCCAATATGATTAAATATTGAGTTTGAGTGCAAAGTTTGAGGACTGCTAGTGGGGAGGACACAGACTTCAAAAAGATTGGGTCAGTACCTTGGAGGGGAGAGGTTTGAGCGGCGTTTACACAGGCAAGGTCTGGAGAAGCTTAAGAGGAGTTCAACTTTTTTCATACTAGGTTAGCTCATTGTTGCAGCAATCTGGTTGAAGGCAGTGTTTCTTTTTTGGGAAGGGTATATTTAATATTCCGCATTAAGTACGTAATAGTCAAGGGGTCTTTTCTCTCAGGTGCCACCTGGTCTGAGCCAGGGACAACAAAATAAGGCAGGAAGTTAGTTAATCTATAACAAAAGGTCAGTAATTAAAGGGCCATTCTCCATGACTGGGTCTCCAAAGTCAAGCTTCCTCAAGGCCTAACAACTTTCAGAAGCCCCAAATAACATGGATTGTCCACTCCCTTTCACACTTGCCTAGGGTCTCACGGCAAGGAACGCCCAGCTCAGGCCAATCCGGCCGGGCGCAGTGGCCCCCACCCAGGGGCGGGGAGCCAGGTGCACTTCCGCTGGCCCAAGTTACTGGCAGTCGCAGGGCTGCGCAGTGCGAGCCGCCAGCCGCGCAGGGATGATAAGTCCGACCTCTGTGCCCCGGTCCCCGCGGCCTGGCCCGCCGACGGTAAGTGCGTGCCCGGCCAGGGGCGAGCGGGCGGACAGACCCACCGGCGACTCCCACTCGGCCGCGCTCCTCGTTCGCTCCTCCCCAGTTGCTGCCGTCCGTCCCAGTCCCTGAGTCCGCTGCTCCAGGCGCGCCGCGACGCCCTTCGCCTCTGGCTGGACGCTCTCTTTCCTCTCCGGCTGTCCCTGCTGCTTTGAGCGCTCTCCTTTCGCTCCTGGGGCTCGGCTCCTGCTCCAGCTCTGCCCCGCCTCCCCTCCGTGCCCGCTTTCTCGCCTGGCTGCCGTTGCCTGTCTCCTCCCTCCCCACTCTGTGTTTTAGTTCCTCTCTCAGTCCCCTGGCTTGTCCTAACCCACGGCTCTTCCTCTGTCCCTCCTTCTCCCCTGGCCCGGCGGGAGAAGCCTGGCCAAAGGCTCACTCCCTCACCCCAGCGCCCACCGCCCCCCGCCTGCCCCTGCCTTGTGGCTGGGGCCTGATTCCTCCTGCGTGCCTGCCCCCTCCCCGGGCTTGGTTGAGGGGCGTTTGGGAGGGGGATCAGGAAAAGGTCAGGTGCACTCTAGGAGCAGAGAATTCTGATTCTCTCCTGGACTGCGAGCCATCCTGGAGACTTGGAGGAAGGGAAAGTAGAATCGGTAGGGCGAGTGTGGCTCTTTCCAATAGGGCGATGATAACGTCATTGTTGTTGGCTATCCACAAAGCCACCTGCTTGCTTAGTGCCAGGACTGCCCCAGGTGCTCAATAAACCCCTGAATGAATTATTGGGCAAGTATAATGCGTGGAGCCTGCACTGGACATGATGCCAGGTAAGGCAAGATTGGCCTTTAGAGGAATACCAGGTGCTCCTGTAAATCAGAGCTGAGAGTAAGCACCATTCCATTCAGATGCTGAACCCCCTAGTAGGTATTGGTGACATAATGACAAACCAGGTATAGTCCCTCCCTTAGAAACTTCATGGTAATGGGGATACATGTGACAAACAGGGAACTATGAGAGAGGAGCTGTCATGACAGTGGAAGACTGTCTTCCCCAGCCCCTGCCTACAGGACCTGGGACAGGTTTCCCTCCCACCCAGGAATCCTTTGGCAGGGTAACACCAAAGGGGGAGAAGAGGAAAGGTAGCTGGTCCTAAAGAGGGGTGGAAAAGTAGTCTGTATTTTCTAGAAACACATGGTGGAATTTATGGATGAGGTAGGAGGTCTGGGATTTGCAAAGGGATTGGAAGTTTTGGAAGAAGAGGCAAAAGAGAGACAGAATTAAGAAGCTCAGGAACAGGACTAAAGTCTTGTTTAAGAAATAAAGAAATGGGGCTGAGGATGTCAAGTAGGAAGCTATTTTTTATGAAGCATCTGGAAATTAGCTTCACAAAGAACATTTGAAGTGATTGGATCCATTAGACTTTCAGAGCTGGAGGGACTTAGAGCTCTCTTGCTCCATTTCTTAATAATTATTTTAAGCTTATCTTAATCTATAATTAGATAAGTTTAGTTATTTATCTAAGTTTGGGCCCAGAGAAAGTGAATAGCCCCAGCCACATAGCTAAGTATTGGCAGCAGTGGGGCAGGATGTTGGGCAGGGGGACCCGGGGGGGGGGATGTAGGGGGGGACACACATCCAAACTGTACTGGAGTCACACTGATATGATTTTATCCCAGCTTCAACTTTATCACTTCCTAGCTGTGTGTCTTCTCTCTGAGCTTTTCTCACATGTGACATGGGGATGTTAGGAGAGCCAGTGAGATAGCAGTAGTGAGAATATATTGGTCCGTTCAAGGGTTAAAGTCTGCAACTTCACATGTAACTGCCAGCTCTACAGAGGTGACCTCAGGGTTAACCAAATAGCCCTGCCAAGGAGCCTTGAGGTTTAAGGGAGAAAGAAGGAGTCACAGGTTCTGAGCTTATTTTTCTCAGCTCTATTGTTTGGCTGCTGTCAAGATACATCCTCTCCTCTGCCTTCTCCCCTCCAGGCAGCAGAACTGTCCCCCAGTAGGAGCTGTTGCCATGGCAACTCAATTCTTCCCCAGTACTTTGGTTGCCTTTGGCTCTCTTAATTCCAGTACTTTAATCTTAGAGGTAGAGCCCACAGACCAGTTGAGAATGAGGTCACACATAAATCAGAATGAAGGACATTCTTGAGCCCCATTTCCAACTTTGGCCCTGCAATGACCTGTTGTACAATCTCCAGGTTAGCCATCCCTCTAACACTACACAGATCTTTTCTGCAGCATAAGCTATCACAAGCCCTAGGAAACCTTCTTTGACAGCCTCCAACACACACCCACAAAACCAGCTGACCCCGCCTACCTCTCTGAGTCTTTCCTGTCAGCTCCTACATATTGAAACCATCTGTTTCCTTCTCTCCCCTGTGAACTCCAAGGCAGGGACTGTGTCCTGCTGTGCTTGGCACAAGGTTTGCATGTAATAGGCCCTCCATACGTTTTTTTTTTGAGACTGAGTCTCACTTTGTTGCCCAGGCTACAGTGAGTGCCATGGTGTCAGCCTAGCTCACAGCAACCTCAAACTGCTGGGCTCAAGTAATCCTTCTGCCTCAGCCTCCCAAGTAGCTGGGACTACAGGCATGTGACACCTGATTTTTTCTATATATTTTTCATTGGTCAATTAATTTCTTTCTATTTTTAGTAGCGATGGGGTCTCACTCTTGCTCAGGCTGGTCTCAAACTTCAGAGCTCAAATGTCTACACGCCTCGGCCTCCCAGAGTACTAGGACTACAGGCGTGTGCCACCGCGCCTGGCCTCCTCCATATGTTTTGTTGAATGAATGACTCACTAAGGGAAGAGTGGAGGTGTTGGAAAGTTGAAGGTAATTTATGTACTGACCAAGAGCTCGAGCTTTGGAGTAAAATGGATCTGAGTTCAAATCCCAACATCATCACCTAATAGCTGACTGATCGTAGGCAACTTATTTCATCTCCTTAAGCCTTAGTTTCTTCTATAAAATGAGGGTTTAATACATTCTTCATAGAAGTGTTGTGAGGATTGAATTAGATAATGTATTTAAAACACTGTGCACAGTTCCTAGACTGTGAGGGCAGGATCTACTTCCTGCTTGTTCATCACTGTGTCCCAGGTACCTGGCACGAAGCACAAAGTCAGCACATACATATTTTATTGAACAAGCAAGAGAGTTTTAAATAACAAAAGTCATTTAGGATTGTTCTGGTTTGTAAGGATAACAACTGGTGTATGACCTCATGAGTAATAATCGTTACATGGTCTTCTGGTATTATTGTGGGTCTCTGTGGCAGCACTTAGTGTTCCCTAAATGCAGCCTGAGTCATTTCCATATCCCTCTATTCCTCTACCCACTCACCTGTGAGCGTCTCCAGGCAGGAACCACCCACATCGTTAGTGCTCAACCCTGCCCTCTGGCACAGAGACATGGCCTCTAAAAGTTCTGTTTAACAGCCAAACTTAACTTATATTTGCGCTGTATATATTACACTTCACCGTTTACAAAACAGTTTTACACCCACTGTATCTAGTGTTACTGGCCTTTTCACCAACAAGGATATTCTTACTCTTATTCAAGACCTATGGGTCCCTATTTTGAAAAACATTCATCAAACAAATCCCATTTTTTGCTGGCATGGTGGCTTGAGCCTGTAATCTCAGCTACTCCAGGGGCTGAGCTGGGAGGAGGGCTTGAGCCCAGGAGTTTGAGGCTGCAGTGAGCTATGATTGTGCCACTGCACTCCAGCCTGGGTGACAGAAAAACCCACAAATACCATTTTTAAAATCAATCAAGGGCGTGCCAACTGCTAATCAGATCCTCTGCTCTACATGAAATAAGAATTTTTGTCCCCAACTCCCAGCACAGGATGTGGGTGCCCAGTAAGTATCCAAGAAATGCTTCCTGAATGAATACATGTGTGCTTTCTTTGGTCTCTCTGAAATGATGCAAATGGCCCTCTTCCCAGGGTGGGAACTCCTGACTTCACAACAACTCCATATGCCCATTTTATAGATAAAGATACTAAGGCCTAGGGAGGGAAACAGGCTTGCCAAAGGCCACAGACTTTGGAAGTATTATCACAGGGACTTCCTTCTATAGTAGGTAGCTCCTCTCCTAACATTCTGTGACCTAAAAAAGAAAGTTAAAATGCTTGAATGGATATTCTTTTTTCAAACAGAAATCTTTTTCCGGCCGGGCCTGGTGGCTCACGCCTTAATCCTAGTACTCTGGGAGGCCGAGGCGGGTGGATTGCTCAAGCTCAGGAGTTCGAAACCAGCCTGAGCAAGAGTGAGACCCCGTCTCTACTATAAATAGAAAGAAATTAATTGGCCAACTAATATATATAGAAAAAGTAAGCCGGGCATGGTAGCGCATGCCTGTAGTCCCAGCCACTTGGGAGACTGAGGCAGGAGGATGGCTTGAGCCCAGGAGTTTGAGGTTGCTGTGAGCTAGGCTGATGCCACGGCACTCACTCTAGCCTGGGCAACAAAGTGAGACTCTGTCTCAAAAAAAAAAAAAAAGAAATCTTTTTCCATCCTTTTTAAAATGCCCACCCTCTGGAGCTATACCGCATAAATACAACCCCCTTCAGTAAGATGGGCGTTCCTATATCTGGAGCCAATCATTACGGCTGACCTAAGTTCTGAAGTTCTGTACCCGGTTTATTCTTTGGATAAAAACAAGTCATAAGCTCCCTGGAGGTGGCGCTGTTAGCTCACTCTGCCTGTTGTGCCCCCAGATATCGACGGTTGTGGAGCTGAACGTGGGGGGTGAGTTCTACACCACCACCCTGGGCACCCTGAGAAAACTCCCGGGTTCGAAGCTAGCAGAGATGTTCTCCAGCTCCGCCAAGGCCTGCACGGATGCGGAGGGCCGCTTCTTCATCGATCGCCCCGGCACCTATTTCAGACCCATCCTGGACTACCTGCGCAGCGGGCAGGTGCCCAGGCAGCACATCCCTGAAGTGTACCGTGAGGCTCAGTTCTACGAGATCAAGCCTTTGGTCAAGCTCCTGGAGGACACGCCGCAGATTTTCGGCGAGCAGATGGCTCGGAAGCAGTTTCTGCTGCGAGTGCCCGGCTACAGCGAGAACCTGGAGCTCATGGTGCGGCTGGCGCGCGCCGAGGCGGTGGCCGCGCGCAGGTCGAGCGTGCTGGTGTGCGCGGTGCACACCGAGGAGGAGGATGCGCAGAGTGCCGAGGCCCTGCGTGCCCTAGAGGCTGACAAGAAGTCTGTTGTCAAGTTTGGGCCCTGGAAGGCGGCCCCAGACACAGACGACCTCCTGCACTGCGTGGAGATGGACATTAAGGCCCAGGGGTACACGGTATTCTATGAGCGCTACCAGTTTGAGAAGGTATTCCGGGCCAGGCCTTGCCTTTCCTTCTACACTTTTGTCTTCACCTGGTGGTGATCCCCAAGGGCAGGAACTATTTGTCATGGGCTCTTGTGGGGCTTATGGAATTAAAAGTTGACATCAAAAACCATCTTTCTTTAATTTCACAAACTTCAGACAACTTCCAAGGTGGTTCTAGAGTCTTGTCCCAAATATTTATCTCCTCTTTGAGGACTTTCCACTCCATTGCAATTTACTCCACTATACTTGCCTAGCAATTTGCACCTGCTCCCTCTTCAAAGCCTCATGTACCCCTCAGACCCTTCCCAAAGTCCAATAACAAGGCTGAGATAAGTTAGAATGTTTCAACAATGCTTTAGTAGATGTGGGATCCCAACAGGAAAATATAGGATGCCATGAATCTAGACATCCTGACCTAAAGATGTAGTCTACACAGCCACCACTTGTGGTCCAATCCATCTAGGCGCAGCATCAGCATCACCTGAGAACTTGTTAGAAATACACATTCTCAGGCCCCACCTCAGACTTACTGAATCAGACAGAGTCTCTGGGGGTTGGCCCAGCAATCTGGTTTACCAAGCCCTCCAGGTGATTCTAATGCACTCTAATTTTGAGACCTGCTCTACAAAAGAATTACCACCTCTCTTGTATGGAGATACAAGACACTGACCTATTACCTCAAGCAAGTCCTGTTCCGGAGCTCCTCCTGAGATGAAGCTGAAGTCAGTCTTCAGGTGAGAGCACATTCTTGCTCAGCTTTTTAACCTGTGCCCTACACTGCTTCCCTCACTCCCCTTCTCCTAAGAGCACTCCCTAATAAAGTGCTTTCATTTCTGGTGCTCGGCCAAAGGCCGTTCTTAACTCTAAGGAGGAAACATAGACATTCATCCTTTTCCAAGTAGGTCTGAGATAGACGGCCCCCTTCCCTGCCTAGTAGCTCAACCAGGCATTCTGGGTTCTCTGGGACACAGGACTTAGAGTGCTGAAACTCAGGAGGTCCCAGGCAAATTGCGATGAGTTGATCACCCTATTGCCTCCACGATCCTCCCTCACTTTGTTTCTTTTTCCTTTGGAAAGCCTCTCCCTTGGTGACAGATCCAGAAATAACCTCCCACTCAGAAGTGACCATATGTACCCATAGGAACCTGGCTTTGTTCCACAATGGGATAACCATTATCTCTATCCAGATCTTACACAAATCATTTGAACTTTTCCCTTTATGACACCTTCCCCTCCAGCATCTCTGTGGTATGTTTCAACCAAGGTCCAAAGGCTTTTCTCTTGGGCTTGGAACCTGACTCTGTGAGGAACTTTTAGTTTTTGTACTTTGCAATTTCTTCAAATGGCTGAGCAGTTGTCTGTAATGCTTATAGCCTCCTACAGTGATTCAGCTCATCCCTTTGGGAACTCCAGGTTTGGAGCTGTAGGGTTGTTCCTGTGCCCAAGTATTTTTAATATACTGCCCTTGCTTTGAGAAAAAAGTCCAGTTTCCATGGTATGTGAACTCTTTTCTGGCTTCATCTATTGCTAGAAACTCTCTGGGTCTCAAATGATAAAAAAGAGTCTTTTCCAACTCTGGTAAGACCACATACCTATTGTGCCTGAGAACCTTACCAATCCCTTTATAGTTGCTCAGGTTGTATGAGGCAGTATTTAGAGCAGTGGTTCTCAACTTTGATTGCACATTAGAATCACCTGGGGAGAGTTAAAACACTCCAATACCTCATTAACTTCAGGCCCATGACAATTTACTGGTCTACCCCAAATCAGGGGTGATCAGTCCTTTTGATTGGCATGGCCCTTGTCCTAACCACAAACTTGTTCTCATCTATGGTACAGAGCAGGGCCAGGACCAGGCTTCTCTCTGGCCTCACCGTAGTCTCCATCTGTTGCAGATATACATGATTCCATGAGTTTCAACAATCTCAGATGGAATTCCAAGTGGGACTTCACCTGCTTATGAGTACAGGGGTTCATGTTAATTACTCAAATAGCTTTTTCCCAACTTTTTATTTGGAAAGTTTTCAAATCTACAGAAAAGATAAAACAATAGTATAATGAACTTTTTACCTAGAACCAACTATTACTATTTTGACATATTTTTACTATTGCTTTCTCCATACACATGTGTATATACATATATAATTGTTCACTGAACCAATTGAAGGTAAGTTGTAGACATTAACATGCCTCCACCTAAATACTTCAGCTTACATCTCCTAAGAAAAAGGACCTTCTCTTACATGATTGCTGTTACCACTTCTAAAAAAATTAACAAATCTAAAATATTTAATGTATTATCTATTTTGACAGTTGTTCCATAAATGTATTTTATAGCTTTATTTTTTAAAAGTCCTATCAAAGATCACACATTAGATTTGGTTGTTAGAGTTCCTTAGTTCAGAGGTTCTCACCTTGACCACATATTGGACTCAGTCAGTGAGGTAGCTGTAAAAATTATGCCTGGGCTCTATCCCTAGGGATTCTATTTTAACTGTTTTGGCATGTGGTCTGACACTAGGCTTTGAAAATCTTCCTCAGATATTTCTAAAACTCATCAGAATTTGAGAAAAACAGTGTTAGTATCTTTTAGTCTATAACTGTCTGCCTTTATTCCTTTTATATTGATTCAAAATTTCTTTTCTTTTCTTTT